CCCCCCGGGTGGGTTGCGGGTAGCCCGCTTCTTCACCCGCCCAAATGGAAACCCTACTTTTGAGTCCTACGAATCAAAAACATACCGATTTTCCAGACTTATTTTGATTATGCTGATCTATTAGACATTTGTTGTGTCCATCTTGTCCAATAAAATCAATACTTCCTCCTATAGCCTGTGCAATCAAGGATCCAGTAGATGCAAGTTTTGAAGATTTTGGATAGTTTGGATCGAAAATTGGATAATCAAATATTGGAACAAGGATGTCTGGAAGAAGGTTTTGATTTTCGAAAAACTCAAAATTTGTAAAAAAAAAACTAACACATTGAATTTTGAGATCTGTTGTAAAATGGAGCAATTGAATGGATAGAATCTTCTGGATCCAATGAGAATTTTTCTTTGATGTTCTCCAAATTTTTGTAATTTTTGAATCGGACAAGTTTTTTGGACAAAGTGAAATATGAGTCAGTTGTTGAGAAGTCTAGCTGAAATTCATTAATAGAAAAGTTAAAAAAAAGTTTTGACGATGTCCATAATTTTTTGAAAATTTGCATTTTTCCATTCTTCGAAAAAAACGTTATGCAAAGTTATTTAGTTTTGATGTGTTTCCAGACAAAGAAACACTTTCAGAATTTCAGAAATTCAGAATCTCAGAATCTCAGAATCTCAGAATCTCAAAATCTCAAAACCTCAGAATTTCAGAATCTCAGGATCTCAGAATCTCAGAATTTCAGAATTACAGAATCTTAGAATCTCAGAATCACAGAAGTTCAGAATCTCAGAATCTCAGAATCTCAGAATCTCAGAATCTCAGAATCTCAGAATCTCAGAATCTCAGAATCTCAGAATCTCAGAATCTCAGAATCTCAGAATCTCAGAATCTCAAAATCTCAGAATCTCAGAAACTCAGAATCTCAGAATCACAGAAGTTCAGAATCTCAGAATCTCAGAATCTCAGAATCTCAGAATCTCAGAATCTCAGAATGTCAGAATCTCAGAATCTCAGAATCTCAGAATCTCAAAATCTCAGAATTTCAGAATCTCAGAATCTCAGAAACTCAGAATCTCAGAATCTTAAAATCTCAGAATCTCAGAAACTCAGAATCTCAGAATCTCAGAATCTCAGAATCTCAGAATCTCAGAATCTCGAAATCTCAGAATCTCAGAATCTCGGAATCTCAGAATCTCAAAATCTCAGAATCTCAGAATCTCGGAATCTCAGAATTTCAAAATCTCAGAATTTCAGA